AATTACAATGAAGTGAAATTAAATAGCTTGTCAGGTATCATGTGCTCAATAAATAGCCACATGTAGGTAATGGCTACCCTATTGGATACTGTAATTTATAGAATCTACTCAAATATTTGGAATTTAGACATCTTCCAACTAACCTATGGTAAAAACATATTACAAGTATAGAAAAAACTTCAGATGGATGACAATTAAGTCAAAATGTACAAAAATGTGTGGAAATTTTGATAAATTAAAATTTTTACATTAGAAAGGAATTGCTAATGGCACACACAGCGTCACGGTGACACGCTGTAGAGACCATGCATATTGTACTGTGGGTGCCAGCAGACACTAACATGGGGAGCTGAGCACTCTGATCGTAGGAAGTCTTCTGGCAAGGGTGTGGCTTAGCTCTCTCTTCCTTCTAGCACAAATTTCTTGGTCCTGAGATGCAGTTCCAACTGCATTCTGAATTAGGATTCTTTTACTACTTCAGAAAAGATCTCCAAGTATACCAAGATCTTCTCATGTGGTGGCCTGGAACTTGAAATTCTCACTCCAGCGGCCCTACAAGATTCTAAAAGCACTCCATCGCTTCCTTTTCTTGCTCCCCTCCTTCCTGGCCTCCCTACACCCCACTCTCCACAAACACCCACCACACACCCTCACCCCACCCACACTCTCCCTACCATCAAAGGAAGAGTGTGCATTGGGATGAAAATATCCTTTGCTTCCTAGTGCCAGAAGTCAGATGTAATGAAGGGCCACAGAACACAAGGGACAGTAACAAGTATGACCATCACTGGATGCTGACCTCTTCCGCTCAAGTCTCCCTGGCACTTCTACCTGTGACTAGAGACAGGGTCCCTCGTTCCCACAGCTGACTCCTTCACACGCCAACCTAATTTCATCCCCCATTCCACCCAGGACGTTCCCACGGGCCCTGTTTGTTAGGATTTGAGAGAAAAGCCCCCTCTTTCTGCCTATTCTGCTCCCACTTTGCCTCCTGCCCAGCTCCGTGCCCACCCTTCCCCACATGGCCTCCTCCCTCAGCCACTGCTGGTACCCATATGCCCGTGGTTCTCCTGCTGAAATGGCCATAGAAATCATGAAGAGGTAAATGGTATCAGCCTAAAGTGGCTTTATTGGGGGGCTTACCCCCAAGCACAAGGGGGACAGTGCGTGGCAAGGGCTCCCGGACTGGCATGGCCCCGGCGAGGAGCCCTGCACAGGTAACTTTTGGCTGCTCTCCTGCCCAAGTACATCAGTGGTGGTAGCTTACGACTCAGGAGTTCTGCACACCTCCTAGCCATCTTCTTTTTACTTTTATTTTATGTATTTTTTTACCTTTTTTTTAAATTGTGAAAATACCGTACAAAGGGGTTACAATGACATGGGCAAAATAATAAGTACATTTCTTATCAAGCATTTTCCCCCTCTTTTGTTTCCCTTTCCCATCCCTTTCCATCTCTCCCCCCCATTCCGATTCTCCCCCCCCCACCAAAGTAGTAAAGTTCGTTTTTTCGACATAACGCCTTGTACATCTCATATTTGCAATGGGTCCACCCCACTCCTAGCCATCTTTGCACCAAGATTTTTACTCAGCATGGCCATTGCTCATTTGCACTGCATCCATCTGTTCTTGGTTCACCGAGAGCCCAGAAGCCACCATACCAGGATGCTCAAATACAGGTCCCACTCAGGGATTCTGCATGCATACACACAGGCTGCGAAAGCGCGCACCACGAGCTGAGAAGGAAGGTCGTTACAACACAGCGATCTTAGAGTACATTGCCTATTAAAATAGCTCACCCTAGGGAGGGGGCTCTTGGCCTCCCCCTTTCTGTCTGACTACTATGTTGTGCCCACCACAGTGCAGGCACCTTACCAGCAATCACTCCTACTCCTCTTACAGGTCAGAACAAAGCCCAAGAGATACACAGGCATTTGACCAACAGCTCCTGCTGAGGTACATGAACATTGATGGGCTCTGGTGGCCAGGGAGAAGTGGGAGGAGTTCCACATCTGAGTGCAGGCGACAGTTCTGTCCTCAAGAAGCTTTGGTTCTATCAGGACTCAGACTTATACTAAAGAAATGCAAGGTCAGTGAGATAGGAGGGCCCATGTGAGG